CTGAAGAGGATTCAAGAATCTCTCTCGGAAAGAAAACCACGCTGTCTCCTCGTGACCTGAACCAGTAAACACCAAAGCTCAACTTTGCAGCGTAGAAGCGAAAATCTCGTATCCTTGCCTTTTGTACTTTATCTTAATCCACCACAGCAAGGCAAGAGTGCGTTGTTGTTCGCTGGCAAGGGAAGGTAGGCGTGGCGTGGATTTGTTTTTGGTAGTCTCTGCGGTCTACAAAGAAGTTTGGCAAACTGCGCGAAATGGTTTTTGCGAATGTAAATTTTTGGTGTAGAAAATGAAGAGACACAAGGAACTGGACAGACGTATTCTAACGAGGTTATGGTTGAACGAACTGGGATTATTTATTCATTTCCAACCAATTGTAGTCAGTGCTTATTTAGGAGATTTTAGAGAGCAAGCTTTTCTTAAACGTCCGTAGAGGTTTACGACGAGGTGCAACACCCCAGAAGGCAGTCATCTTTTATTATTTTATTTATTTAGTGTTCTGTCTGACAACAGGTCCATATGAACAGGATCCTTCCATCCTTTTCTCGGACTGGGACCTGTTCATATACGTTCTTGGCAGATGATCCAGAAGTGGTTTGCCATTGCCTGCTTCTGTGTGTGAATAGAGTAATTGTTGGGATGCCACGGAGGAAAACTCCGTGTTGCCTAGACCACGGCCTTGCCCAACACAAGTTATAAATTCGGGCACCGCCGGGAATCGAACCCGAGACCCCAGGATTGCAAGGCCAGCGTTCTAACCGCTAGACCACCGTGGCTATCGAACCCGAGACCCCAGGATTACAAGGACAGCGTTCTAACCGCTAGACCTCCGTGGCTATCGAACCCGAGACCCCAGGATTACAAGGACAGCGTTCTAACCGCTAGACCTCCGTGGCTATCGAACCCGAGACCCCAGGATTACAAGGACAGCGTTCTAAGTACACAAATATTTCAACGGATTTGTCATGTCCCATGAGCATTACCGTGTCTGGTTCTTGTCACATCAGTTTTTGAGTAGTATTGTGTTGTGTACTTGACATCGGGATATATATGCACATGCGAACGCTGAAAACACGTATGAAGGTAAGTCAACACGATGTCCTTTTGAAAATAGTCCCATTTCCTTCGTCGACGTTTATATCAACTGCTTTGGTCATGGAAGGAAGATAAACTCTCTGAGAACTGAGTATTGGAAGGATAAAGAGAGACGCAGACGTGACGTGATAAAAGTTATTCCATAAAAAGAGCAGGCAATCGACATTCGAGATTCAAACTACGGACGTCCGAGTATGAAGCAGGAACAGTGTCACTGTGATGTGGCTTCTGGTGACTGAAGTAAAGAAAGTTCTTCGATCAGTTTTCCTGTTAGCTGCTTTACAATTAAAAAGAAGTTTTGCTTTGGTGAGATATCAGGTTCTTACAAAGATGAATGTCTTCTGAGATGTTTCGCCTTGTAGTCTAGTAGAAGTTACCGACGTTTCAGAGGTGCGTAGTGCTTTTTTTTCCTAAGTATGTTTGACATTTCGGTAAACTTGTTGCAGACTACACAGCGCAACATCCCAAAAGACATCCCTATGGTTATTTTTAACAAGAAAATATTTTTATAACAGGTGATAAGTAAAAATACTTATGAATGAGTATTCTCATTGTAGATAATGGAGTATATTCTTGATCGTAACGAAGAGAATTTCAAAGGTATGTGCGTATTACAAACGTTTGCCTACATGAAGGTAAGAAATTCTACACAAACGCAGAACTTCTGTGCGTCCCTGAAGGGGCAGTAGTTGCCTGGAGTTTCCGTTTCTGCTAAGCGGATTATGTCCAACTATGAAGCGGAGTCCTCCTTCAGAAGCTGACAGTCGCTCAGGTGGTCTTCTACGAACCCGAAAGTTCGTTACCATGTTCACAGAAGTTTTCCTGTTCTGTACACTCATCGGTCTGTGTCCGCTTAGTTCGTACTCAGTACGGAATACGCAGTCATTTACATAATGCCCAGTCCGAAATATATGGCTGCTTTATTATTATTATTATTATTATTATTATTATTATTATATAAATAAATGAATTGAATTGAATTATTATTTAGTATTATTTATTTTGTTTATAATTATTAAATTGAATTATATTACTTAGGTATCGTATTTAGCCCATTTATTTGTGAAATATAATTCAATAAATGAATCGAATTATTATTATTAATATGGTACATTTATATATCTAGTTTAATTTGTTTGTTTTACTTTTATTATTATTGAAATAAATTAATTAATTATTATATTTTATCCTGTACTCTGGTTTAGTGCTTGGCTGTTATTGGCCTTTTTGGCTGTTGTCAAGCACTTATATAAATGAATTGAATTGAATTATTATTATTATTATCCCATCTCTTCACCACTTTATGGGGTATGTACTTCCATGTACCCGAGACCTTGTCCCTAAGGTACATAGGGCAGCAGCTATTTCCTGGATACATATTGTTTTTAGTAAGTGCCACATGTATTATATAATTTTATTTTATGACAGCGTCTTTCGGATGATGTATGAAGATTCCAAAATTTTCAAATTATATTTTATTCCAGTTTTGTATTTTTATACTTCAATACATACGCATTAGGGTCTACCAACAAAACGAATTTGTATGTTTACTCCCTTATGACTCATTGGTACTATATTATAAAATATAAATGTTTCAAATAGTCTGTTCATAAACTTCACTTTTTACGGGAAATAGTCCGACTGTACAATGGTTGCTTGTTGACTCTTCCTGAAATATCCCTCGGGACAGTGCAAATTTAATTTCAAACTGGCACCTCGTCAACGTATGTAGGAAGACATAGACCAGGGACTAGAAGTTACATGTTGCTTGACACATTAACCGCTTCCTATGACAGCGTATGGGTTATCAAAGAGCACAGGAAAATTCATTTTGTTCTTGTCGCTTTCGGTCTGAAACACACATTTATGTACGCAGATCCTTATGTCATCTGATGTAAATTTAGCGTAAAAGCACTTTTTACTGATGAGGGGGTTGTTTTAGGAGTGAAGGGGTGGGGTTGAGAGTGGATGTCAAAGCAAGTGATACACAGTGGGGCCTAGAGGTTAGGAAAGGCAGAGAGGTTAAGAGGAGTTATGTAGGAATATGGCAAGAGCCTCATGCCATGCCCTTTAATACAGTCTGTAATATGCTGATAAGGTTATTCAAAGCAACACACCGTACGCAGGAAGGCGCTAGCTCTCCCACAAGGTTACGGTTACCACTGCAAAAGCAGATCTCTTCCAGTTTGACAACCCAGTTGTACCGTACTGCAAAACTGGACACATTATAAATACTCTTCAAATGTAGACGAAATGTCTGTGACTCATGAACCTTAGGGTAAATTATGTAGCATTCGGCCCGTTTATCGGTACTGTAAAACTTATTTTCAGCGTTTATGAGTCATCTTCGTTGTTTTATATGGGAGTGAAACTTTGCCTGTGATGAACAGCCGAGGTTAATATTCGAATATAAGACGAAAAATATAGCAGCAGGTTGAAAGAAAATGGATAATGAGCAATCTGTATTCTTTACTGATATGGGCAAACTACTTGGCGTGCGAACATCCCTCATGAGTGGCTCGTAACAGTTGCGGTGGACGTTTCGGCCACACACTGTTGAAAACATTTATCTCAGGTTTTAGTTTTGGACAGGCGTTCAAGTCGAGCAGTTGAGTTCATAGTGTGAGTTACATGAGCTTTCTGTTTGTGTTTTATTGACAAAGAGCACTATATTTTTATCACAGAAATACACAGGCGTATTAAATTTGGTTTTAGATCGAAGGGCCTGGACCCAATTAACCTGGCTGGAGGGCTCTGGTGAATACGGTAATGAACCTTCGAATTCCTTAAAAGGCGGGGAATTTTTGAGTTTAGTGACTGTTTTGCATTCGAGGACTGTGCTCCGTGTAGTTTGTTACAAATTACAGACGTATTTAGTTGGTGTCGGACGACCAAAACAAAATAGGAACAAGTTAAATGGCTTACATCTTAGTGGAAAAGATGAGGTTTTTTGTCAGGCTGTTTTATTTGCAGATAGCTTTACTTTGTCAAGAGCCGACAGTAATGTTATATAAGTCCCTGTTGCACATACAGAATTTTTCACTTCTCTCATTAACTTTTTAATGACCCATTAAATGTATTTTTGAAATTGATAAAAATTTACTGGTACAGTTTAGTAATAAAAAGTCACGAATGGAACATTTCGTAGTTCCTGAATATTTTCCTGCTCGTAGTATAACATTTACGGTCACCACACACTGATTATATGGAATATGGCATGTTCGTGCATGTGAGGACAGAGATAATCGGTGTTGGTAGCATTTTGCTTTATTATGTGGCGTAGGTTCTAACTCGATGGTAGTATTTCTCGGTGTTTTATAGCTAAAGACTAGTCAAATACAGTGCGTTCACCGATAAAGTTTAACGTGTCGCTTATCGGCTCCCGGTTGGAACTACATGTCTCACCGTCAAACGCTGCAGGATTATCCCGATACGAGTCAGGTATCGCTTCATGAAACAATAAAATAAACTCATATTTTATAGCTATTCCTTCCAGGAGCATGAAAGTAACACTTGCGTTAAACTTTATCGATGGACACACTGAGAATTCTTCAAAAAGTTTGAATTTTTCCAGTTTATATTTAATTCCATATTGTACTCAGTCACTGTCGGTATGGTATTAAGTTTATAATCGATATGGTGATGAAGTGTATGTAGTTTGTATTTTTTTTAATTGAATCGATATGGTGATGAAGTGTATGTAGTATGTATTCTTTTAATTGTGGGTGAACTGTACTAAGTTGTTAATCATGTAACCGTAAGGATCATGAACATTTATAGGCCCATACGTGTGAACTAGTCGAACACACAACTCAGAATTCCATGTACATGTGTGAGAAAGAGAAATGAATTTTGATATCGAGCAATTAGAGTGCATGGAAAATAATTATGTTCCTCACTTACAGGTGGTCACGGTTTTGTGGAGAACTTCAAGACATCCGTTTTTCGGTAAGTAACGTAGTAAGATAACGCAGATACGTTTCGGAACTAATTTTTTAAGTAGTTTAGTAATAACATTTTCTAGTTCATAGGCAGGCGTAACTGATGAAAGATAATTAAGTGTACATGTTATTCTTCCTGCAAATGTTTTATAGTTTGCTAAAAGAATTTGAAGTACTTATATTTAGAGTCGAATATTTTTGTAAGCAATTTTTTTCGAAACCGTAGACAAAGGGATACATGAAAACGCTTGTTTTAAAGCGTAAGGCATTTTAATAAGTTGTTGCTTTGGATATGTTGTAGATATGCTTTGAAATAGGAAGCGGAGAAGGTACTTGGTTTTATTGTTCGCGTTGTGTGTGGTTCTTGGTTGTTTCCACTTTTCCGACTTCGGTCTTCTTGACAAATATTTGTATGAACCTGTACATAGTGTTTAATTTACGTTGTTGACAAATACTGAAAATGTACAGTATGTACACACATACACACTCAGATAGTCGAAAAGTCTCAGAGCTTGGAGTTTTGAACCGTATACATATTTCGACCAGACGGACTTTGTCAGCATCCGTGATTTTAAAAGTTCTGTTTACATTTGGAAATAATATTGCGACCCGATGATATTATATGGACTGTGATTTTTGTTCACCAGTACTAATTACAGTGCATCAGGTATTGGTGAAATGCACGTCACCGAATTGCTACAGTCACGTAATACTGCATAAGCATGTTTAATTGAAACATGTGCCCACTGTCGTCAACGCTTACCAGGAACGCGGTTTTGGTTTACCGGAGCGTAGGATGTAGCTATTCCCACAGTTCATGTATTATTTCATCTCTCATCGGATTTACAGTGGTCACTGGTTCGCTCTGAAATTCGGCACATATGATGCATCCTCTTGGGAAATGAATGTCGGGGAAATCTAAGACGATATTACCTTATAACAGACAATTCAGATTTCAGACCACAGGGCTGGATCCACCAAATGTAATTTTGAGGTATCCGTATACCACGTGCTTCAATTCCTTTCAGACAATTCAGATTTCAGACCACAGGGTGGGCTCCACCAAATGTAATTTTGAGGTATCCTTATACCACGTGCTTCAATTCCTTCGTTAATGCCCTAGCGTGGTTTTGGGGAGTCTATATGGGACCCTGGATAATCTCTCTCGAGTTCTACTGGTGGGTACTTTGCCTCTCGCGTGAGACGTATAAAGGTTCGAAAGGGACTTGTCCCAACATCGTTGATGATACAGGTCACGATATTGGTTTGTCTACAGTACACACGGAATGTTGTGTTCTATTTGTTGTGTTCTTATCAAGTACCAACAGGGGAATGAGGTAATTGTGGGTGTATAAGCTTTTGTGTTGCATCACTGCATAACCATTCGTTTTTTAGAAGAGACTCTTGTGTGTCCTCAGAAGAAGATAACGCAGAATCAACAGTTACCTTATCTCTAAACGTCGACAACTTTTATTCTGTTTGATGACATAGGTGAAATCGGGTTGTCTGGAATCTGACATGGTTTATCCGTCTCATGTGGTTCGGTCGTAGAAAACACGTTTTTCTGCACCTCTTTACTTGCATTTGTAATTAATAATCACTTGAAATACGTAGGTCTCTAACACGTAGGATAGTTTTCATGTTTTATCAGATCGTTTAACTACTGATTCAGATAAAACAAGCTTAGCATCGGAGAATTTGGAGTCAGTTTAACATAATGATGTCGATTGTTATGTTTCCCGTTGTACGCGTTTACTATAAACGCGGCGAATTGAAGGAACGCAACCCCGGCGACGGCAACAGTCTCCTTTAGCGGTACTCAACGTTAAAGGCCACTTATGAGGACAGACATTCGAACTGTCCGCGTCCTCTTTGAAATAACCGAATTCTTCGTTCAACTCAGCCGAGTGTTCGTATGTACAGATAATGCCAGTGTACAGAGTGCATTGCAGCGTTGACCTGTTTATAGCAGTCGTTAGTTTAATCTCAGTGCATTCCATCATCACACATCGCCCAATTGAATTAGTTCATGAAGTTCATCTGTCGTATTCTGTATTCCATTATTTGACAATAGCTCTATACCCAGACTTTGAAGTAACTGAGTAGGCAGGTCTTTTCTTGCCTTCTAGCCCTTCCGGGGTGACGTCAGGACAGACACTTGGCGTTGACCGCGGCGCCAGTCCGTCATCATTTAGAAGTCTCTTCTTCACTCATGTTACTGTTCGTACTGTGATGTTCATTTTCAAGCCGTCTTTCTAGTCAGCGTTTTACTGTGACGCAACTTTAAGCTAATGTACTAAAGCAATCAGTGAGTGTTTAGTAAATTAGCCTCTTTGGTTTAACAAAGACTTCCCTTTATTCATTGCTTACCCACTCTTCTTGTTCTCACTGCCCCATTACTATTGTACACATTAGAACCACGTTTTCTGGCGGCGTATTTTTAAACTCCACACACATTATCCCCTTCTCATGCAGCAAAACAAAACTGTCTGTGGAATGATCTATTTTGGATGATGATACTGAATAAGTTACTTGGAGTCTGCCCACCGAAGTAATAACTTTGATTAGGTTCGTTTCGACTTGGTTTAAGTAACAACGATGTAGTGTAGAAAACATTCTGTGTGGATGTGTTCGCTCGACTGTTTAAGCTACTCATACTCTGTGTCAACGGACAGCATGTGCGAATTGCGTCATACTAACCTCTGAAATTGTAGGTGAAACCAGTAATGTGAGTTATAGAAGTTGAAACATAGTTTTTGTAACTTTTTTTACAAAATATAACTGTTTTATTGTTGTGTGTAGGGGGGTTATTACCGCTTAATATAGCATTTTACGAACCAGCACGGACACTAGAGCTATAAAATGTTGAAGCTGTTAAGTAAATTTATAATTGAAGTTGAATGACTTCTGGGATTTTGCGCCGTATAGCTTGGCAGAAGTTAACAGATTTTCCAGAGGTATTTGATGCCTCCATCATCAGGGCGATCACGGAAGAATATCCCAGAAGATAGTCATCTTTATACTGGACGATTTGAGAGCCTGAAGACTTACCAAGCCCGTAATTTTTCTGAATAACAAGTCCCAAAATGTGTTCGGTTGCATATGAAACGGTCGATTTCACCTGCAAATATGAAGATGTCTGGGGTTTCTGGCATTGACTGTGTAAGAGTTCTGGTTTATTGGATCCATAGACATTTTTTTTAGAGAGTTCTGGTTTATTGGATCCATAGACTTTCTTTTAACAACGGCGTGTACGGAATGTTGATATTTGATGACTCGGTGTTCGAAATATGAGCCGTTCGAATGTAATGTAACTTGCTGGATTAAATTTTGTCAAAGAAACTAGTGGATTGTAGAGAACTGGCAACATTACAGAACAGTTCATGTTAAGAGCTATCCGCCCTCTCTTTTAGTATTTTATGAGATCATTAGTGCGTGGAAGAATGGTTGGACTTGGGGCTGTACGAGGTTCTGAGTCCGAATCGGACGCACTGGCCACTTAACTTCTGAGAAGTGAAACATGGCGGAGGTTAACATATACCAGGTCTGTCCAAAATTGCTTAACTCGATAATTTATTGCGATAAGCAGAAACTGGAAAAATAAGATAGACATTTTATGTTAACATAGGAGTTTTTGTAGTAGTTGCTTTTGTAGTTATTACAAAGACATTAAAAATTATCGATAGCAACAAACAGTTTATTTTCGTAGTGCATTCTATTTATGTGCTTGTTAGTTTATTCAACGACGCTTTAAGAACTGAAATTATAGAAGTTACGTAGTATTGAATGGTTTATCTCTGCTAATAATAAACTGGCAAGAATCTGGTGTGTTTCACACGGACCAATATTATGGATGTTGATATCCATCGTTCCGAGAACAAGGTCTGATAGTATTGGTTGTGTTGTTGGTTGAATACCTCGATAAGGCGCCACTACTTCGTTCAGCTCGATATTAACGCACGACAGACAAGAAAGAACATCGCTTCTTAGATTAGAATTAGAAGAAACAGTCTCAGGGAATATTGCGAAAAAAGACGCAGATCTCTTACAAGCTTTGATCCATAAACGAGCATTGAGTACAGTCATGTAAAAAGTATTAGAATTAAGATTTAACTGGCAGTGGTGCAGCTGTCTTATTTTTCTCCGAACTCACGCAATGCTCCATTCTGTCTTCCTGCATTGGGTCACGCTTCAGACGGACCGAGGCAATTCGCTTTAGTGCGTCTGAAGGACTGACAGTCTAGCCGTGCTCTCGTTGACAAGGGAATAACCTCTCTTTCCTGATTACAGCGAACAGCTGCAGTTGGTCAGTTCCCCTTGCGGACTAGACTACCAGCAGTACTATCTCCTCTGTCTTATCACTCTGTGTTATTCCCAAACAAGGCGAATGGTTATGTGGTGTGAAATGGAACTGACATTCAACAGCGTGTTGCTGTGACCTTACAACACCCCAAACGGGTTACGTACGTAACCACTGGCTCTCTAATAGCACGCCTATCAATTTGAAGGTTTCTTCGTTGCAGGAGCCCACAAGTAAAAATAGGTCTGTCAGTTATGAACGACATAGACTGTGAATTAGTCGTGACTAAACTCCATGGAGCCAAAGACCTTATCTTCCCTGCGCCGATTGTCGTGTTAGAGCTTCAAAGTCCGAAGGCTTGTTTAACATTTCGTAATATGCTGTGTCTTATATGGCGAGGGTTTGTTAGTTCGGCGCCCAACCTCCGTAATGGAGGACTACCCCTTTGTCGGTTGTCCGTAACTGCATATTCAGTATATTCCAAGCTTAATGTGTATAAGATAGTATAATTGCGTCATATTGTGAATCAAATATTAATTTGTAGTTGGGTTTTAAGTTTATTGATATAATTTTACACCTGAAGATGGTTCGATGAAACCGAAACATGTTGTAAAAATGTTCCAAATGTAAATCGATTATTCGATGTGGAACATAAAATGATAATTTAATTATCTTATTTGTAAATTTTAAATTTTAAATATAATTGT